CCACTTGGCCCCCTGCCCCAGCTGAGACTCCCCCGCGCGTGCCGCCCCCCCCCACCGACACCCACCCGCGCGTCAGCCCCTCACTGACACTCACCCGCGCGTGCTGCCCTCCCCCCGCCGACACCCACCCGCGCTCCTCCCTCGCGTGGAGACCCTCCCCTAGCCTCACCCGGGTCTCCCCGCCCGGCCCCAGCGGGCGCAGCGCCGGGTGCCGCTGCAAGAAGCGCCGCACATCTTGCGGCAGCGTGCACATGGCTTCACAGCCCTGCCCCCCGCCCACCGGAAGTGCCTGCGACAGCCGGAACCATAGAGATGCGCGACTACAAGTGCACCCCACTTCCGGCGGAAGCGGAAGTGGTAGCTGACAATGGCAGCGGGCGGGGGGCGCTACTTCGGGAGGTTGTTGCAGCTCTGGGGCCGGGCCCAGGTGAGAGGACAGTACCCGGGCGGGTGCGGGACGGGGGGAGGGCAGGGAGGAAGCCGTCGTCATTCCTCGGGTTATCGTTGTAGCAGAGTCTCTACAGGATGGTCATTCAGACAACATCCAACGCGCCCCTTTCCCTAGCAGATAACATCTTCCGAAGCCGCCCTGACCACCCTGATCGCTTGAGACTCAAGTACGCAAAGCAGAGGAATGACACGGCATTTCTTTTATTTTATTTAGATACCAAATGGTTCGGTCAGGACGTTTTTTGCATATCCTCGTACGAAAGCACGGTCCGGTTTGGTACAGGGATCTAAAGGTAAGGAAAAATGTCATCTTTCCTTCAGGTACGATGCTCAGTTGCCATCTTGTTCCAGCGGGCAATGTTTGATGCAGCTTTCTCTACCTGTGCTGCTTGCCAATAGCATTTAACATGAGAGGGAAAAAGGGGGAAAGCTTGTGCTTTGGCAGTTATGTAAAATCATTGGAGATGTGTAGGGGGTGCACGTACACCCCTGAGATCAGCTGTGCACCCCCTGGAAGCGCCAGCCAGGCAGTTGGCCAATGGGGGATCCCCCCTTCCCCTCCCCCATCGGCAATCTGGTGCCCCCTAGACTTGGGAGGCACCACTCGCTCATGTGTAAAATGCATTAGAATTCATTGAAATGAAATGGAAGGTTCCATAAATAGAGATCTTTTACGCTTGTCAAAGGATGCTGAGATTTATTTATAATGTCTGAAGACTTAAGCCTCCAATACAGTATCACCATGTAGAGCAGATAATGCAACTAAAATATCTTACTTAAAGGAATTGGAGAATTTTAGAACCAAGTCAGTAGCATAGTAGCTGGGAAGGTTGGTGAATATCAGTTCCTGACAATGCAAACCCTGCAGGGATGTAGGCTGGTTTCTCTTACAGTAACTGTTTCTAATTTGAATTCACTCCAGACATTTGTTTGAGACTCTGGAGACCAAAAAGTGGCACAGCAGATGCCATCGAATCTGGAGAGGATGTTGTGTTCAGGTGGGGCCTTTTACTGATCCCTGTGACATCGTTTTGCCTTGGCACATGGCAGGTAAATGAAAATGTTTCACTCTTTAGAAATCAAAGTACGCGCATGGGTGTCAGTTGAGAACTGCCTCTGATAGCCAGAGGGACTTATCCATGCCAAAATAAAAATTATTCTGTGTTGGTTAGTATCTTTAATTTGGGCTGTTTTAACGAGTCGAAGCAATTCTTTTGATGGAAAATTTTAATTTTCCTTTCCATCCCCACAAGGAAATAGGTATTTCAATTTTCATGTCTTGAATTATCCTGTTAAAGACCAGTGTGATCCCAGCGTTAAGGAAAACATGAATTTTGTTTTCAAGCTTGCAAGAAGTTATTAGCAGCAGCCTCCATGGTGATGCCATTGCTGTGTGTTCCCAGGTCCAGCGCCGGAAGTGGAAGTTGAAACTGATTGCAGACCTCGAGTCAAGAGTTGGATCAGAGCCTGTTCCTCTGCCTTTAAAGTAAGCGTAGAAGCTGGGTTTACACTTGATGATTCATGCAGCATCAGCAGTCTACTAGGAATCTGAAACATGGTCCTTGCCCTGAGGAACTTGCACGCTAATAGACAACATATAAATGGATGGGAGCAGCAAGCAGTGTAGACAAACTAGAAAGAAAAACATGGTGGTTCATCTTATTTTAAACATGAGCCATGAATGCTTCCTTGGAAAGCATTGTGTGCTACCAAAAATTCATGTGGTACAAAAAGCCATGTGGACAGACAGGGTCCTTGCACTGTTCAGACAAATCTGAGGCATAGAACAAGTGCATATGGCCATCCAGTATCGAGTGTCAAGGTTCAAGGCTCAGGAAGGGAAGGAGAATTACTGCTGACTTGGCCTCCACATGCTGTGTCTAACAAAAAAAGGCCCTTCCCAGCTGGTGGTGTGTTCTGCTGGTGACACAGGAATTACACCTGGGTATACCCAGGATGCTAACAACTCATGCTATTCACTAGTGCGCTGCTAAACTAGTCAGCTGCTTAACTCATTGGGGATTTTGTTTCTCTGTCTGCTACTGCTGATCCTTTTTTTTTTTTCTGCAGTTGATTTGCCAGTTGTCCATTTGGGAATAACAAGGCAGAGGGGACCCCATAATTCCACTAAAGGTTTAACTATCTGGCTCTGGTGGCCCAGAGACTGATCTCATCCCAGTGCGTCTTGTTCCCTTACAGTCCTGCAGAGCTGAAGGAGCTGGAGTACAGGTCTGTCAAGGTTCGAGGGTATTTTGATCACTCCAAGGAGCTCTACATTATGCCACGTTCACGGGTCGATCCTGAGCGAGAGGCCAGAGAAGCCGGACAACTGACGTCCAAGCCGGACAATGGAGCAAACGTCATTACTCCCTTCTACTGCACAGACCTCGGGTATGTTCAGCTACTAGCTGGGGGTCTTTAGGCTTATGCAGGGCTGCAGCAGGCACTTTTTCTTCCCTGCAGCAGCTGAATTGCAAGTGTCAGGTTAGTTCAAAGGAAAGCAGTGATGTATACAAGAGAAAAAAAAAAGCCCCTCAGATAATCTACTCAGTTGGTAACCCTTGACTTCCAAGTGAGTTTAAAACCCATTTTAATTTGCTTTCTATTGCCTGGAAAGTGGTTTTCAAACACGTAGATCACTAATCTTTTTGGCATGTAGTTTCACAGTGATGAGAGTTCTCTTGCTAACAAACTTATTTTTCTCTCTACATTCTTACTTGTACCTGCAGTGTCACAATCCTAGTGAATCGAGGCTTTGTCCCCAAAAAGAAGTTGAAACCAGAGACCAGACTGAAAGGACAGGTAAGAGGAAACAGTTAGATCTCTTACCCACTACCCTGGAAGCAACTGTTAATATGCCAACTGAGGCACTAGACCAGGGGTGACGGGAGCCACATCCTCCACCAAACTTCAAGGGGTGGGAAGAGGTGCTGAGCGACATGCTGCTGCAGCACCAAGCTACTCTGGCTTTCTCCATGAGGAGCACACCCTAGGGTAAGCGGTGCGACTGCAGCCCGGCAGGAGAGGAGGGTAGGCTTAGGGCCTTCTCTCTTCAGGGAAAGCCAAAGTGGCTGGAGGTGCTGGACTGCACTGTTGCCTGGAGCTGCCTCAGAGAGAAGTGGGCAGGGCTTCAGCCAATTTCTGGAGAGTCACAAGTACCATGATGGTGAGCCGCATACGGCTCATGAACCGTGGTTTGGCCACCCCTGCACTAGACAGTACAACAGCAGGTACCCTACTATTCATCATCATAGTATTTTGCACTTCTCTAACCCAGTGGGTTTCCGCCAGCTTGCCTGAACGTGATGTTCATAAAGACAAGGACCTGAGGTGCCCATCTGTCTGCTGATGCAAGCTCCCAACTCTTTCACTTGGAGTTGGACTTAAAGAGCACTGCCTTTCTCCCACGCAGCAGTAGCATTAGCTGTTGTGGATGGGGCTCAGCTAGCCCCAGGCCTCTTCTTATTGCCATGATGTGTAATTCACAAACTACTTGGAGCTGCTCTTTCCCCTTCTTAGGTCACAGATGAAATAGACCTTGTTGGGGTTGTAAGACTGTCAGAAACCCGGAGGCCTTTTGTGCCAGAGAACAACATAGAAAGAAACCACTGGCATTACCGGGACCTGGAGGCCATGGCAAAGGTGACAGGGGCCGAACCCATCTTCATCGATGCAGATTTCTGTAAGTCGCCAAGAAGCTTTCTTCTTGTTTGCAGTTTGGCCCACTTTGTGGGCCTGTTCCCTTTTAAACTGGTATCTCTTGCCCTGAAGCTAGGAAAGTGGCAGAAGCTACTGGTCTTACTTCTGTTAGTCCACATTTAGGACGAACAGGCTAAGATGAAAGCACGGTTTTGTTGAGGCCATTCGATCTGCCTCAGGCATACAAAAACATGAGTCTAGCATAGTAATTGCATTTGATTTTTATTTCTCCTATTTTGCTAGGACCGGCTTTCACCTGTGGAATTACAGCTCAGGAGGGCTGTTACATGAACTATATGTAACTGCTAAAGCCAAAAAGAGCAGCTTTTTAGCCATCATTTACCTTGTAACGGCCAGTACAGTACCTTTTGTGAATAGCCTGTGAACCTTTGGGGTCAGCCAAAGAAAGGTATGCAAGTGGAAAGCTTGCATTTGTTTCATTCAGAATAAAACTAGAGGCACCGGTGCCTATTCATTGGGTTGTTCCTTTGTTCCTACAGGGAGCACAGTCCCAGGGGGGCCTGTTGGAGGTCAGACAAGGGTGAGCTTGAGAAATGAACACATGCAGTATATTGTTACCTGGTAAGTACCTCTGCTTCATGTGTTGACATGGAAGTAACAGTACTGGCCTGACTCTGGCTTTCTACTCAGACTTCCTGTTTGGCCTTTACTCTTCTAGCTGTAAAACAAGTGCTGAATACCACTGCTCCTCAATACAAACCATATTGTAAATATTAGCCCAGCAGCTTCCCTCTATATGGCAGTGTTATAAGCAACTCAAATCTCATCTGGCTAATAGGGCATTCACTCTCTCATCCCTTCTTTCTTACAGGTATGGTTTGTGTGCTGCAACATCCTATCTGTGGTATAGGAAGTTCATACAGAAGATCCCTTTCTGAAGGGAAGGGCCAGATGTTTCACTCTTCAAGAAAAGACACAGGCTCAAGCGCTTGGGAGACCCACATAGAAGAAACTGGTGTAGCACTGGAAGAAGCAGCTTGCTATACAGCTGTGCACACCAATGCATCTCCAGTGAGGAGATAAGCAAGAGATACCCACTGCCATACAGGCAATTTCAGGGAACCTGGCCTTAGCTTGAAGACATAAAATCTTGAATAGTTTTGTGAGCTGTTTGTTCTTTAAGCCCAACTTCAAGTAAAAGAGTTGGCAACTTCCATATGCTTTTACCTTTCAAGTCAGAGACAGCTATTACTGGTAAAATATTAAGTTTTGATCATTTATTGCCTTGCACATTTTCTTAGGGGATTTTTCTTGGCTTGTTTACTACTGTCACTACCGATTGAGGAAGTATTTCATCTAATCACAGCTAATGTAATGGTGAAGTGGAAGCAGGCTACCTCATCATGAAATATCAGCACAAAAGTCATTAATTTTTGAAGGGGATTATTTAAACAGTGCGCAGTGAAATGACAAAAAATAAAGAGGGTTTATGGTAAATTCTAATCACTCCTTGCATGGAATCTTGAATTTAGGATTAAGTTATCCAGGCATCCTACAAAAAAAGAAATATATGTTTCTCTCAAGTAGTTCCAACTTGTGGAGGATCAACTTTAAATAGAATAATTACTACATCCTACCTAACCCCAACTGACTGCTCATTTTAAAAAGATAAAAGCAATGAATTTAACCCTTGTCCATCCTACAGCAAAGAACTCTCAGAGCTGTTCCAGTATGTGCAAATCTAGGAGCCAAAATGACTCCCTTTCTTGTCCAAAGCTCCTGTGAGGACAGACAGACAGAGCTGAAACTTGGTTTTGAATTTTATTTTTATGTACAGAAAGCACAAAAGTAAGTCCAGTACATTTTTAACCCAGCTTGGTAGCCAACTCTTTAGCCTTGGCTTTCTCCAGCTTGGCAATACGAGCCACTGATTTGGGCCCCAGAACATTGCCACCCCAGTGGCGACGGATCTGGAGGGAAAGAAACGGGAATAAATTAGATGACTTAATTGTAATCCCTCTCGCACACAATACTCTGTCCCACAATTTCAAAATTCTAGTATTAGTTTCTCCTTCAAGAATCACAGGACTCGCTCATTTGATAGCTAACATTCAGAAGTTTAGTTCCTTCACAAGAATTATGAGACACTGATATCACTAGAAATAGCCCAGTTAGTTTCCTCCAAGACTAGAGAATTAAAAGACATGACTAAGAGTTAAGCAAGGTCTCTTACAGTTCCAGTTAGGGGCCTGGGTCCTTGCAAATCCTCGGAGAGGACAGGGAGGTTCAAGTGCAGACAGATTTAGCAAGTGTACCCTTTAGCAGATTTACCCTTCAGTCCCTTCAGACTGGACCTTTATCTCTAAATTTTGATTAGACCAGAAGTGCAATTTTCACCTGTTCTAATCACTGCCCAGTGAAACCATCAACATGGAAGCTCAAGGTGCTACAAAACAGAAGTACCATTGGCACCAAGTGTCTTACCTCATCGTATCTGTCATTGTAGTTGGTCTTGACAGCCTCCACCAACTTGGCTAGAGCACCTTTATCCTCCCTGTTGACCACATTAAAGCGTTAGTTCCTTTTGAACACTCGTGTAAACACCACTTCCCAATGAACCTTTTGTCTCAGGGTTAAAAAGCTCTTAATGCCACATGATTTTTCAGGTGAAGAAATTCTATGTACATCATTGACAAAAGGTTCACATAGCATTCAGCATCACTGCAGTACCTCCAGCACTTTTATCATTTTCCAAATGATAATTTAGTGCAGTTTGACCACAAATAAGTTTTGAATCAGTTAGGCAGAGAACCTAGGAGAGTGATGCTTTATACCAATCTAGTCCCACACCCTCTAAGGGGCACTCTGATCCCTTTGCCCTGCTCAGTCTGTTGTTCTTCCTACTTCCTACCCCATCTGCCACTGTGCTGCCTGTCTCCATCCCAACCTGCCATCTGTCACACAGGCTGTCCGTGTTACTTGTTGCACACATGCCGCAAGCTGACCACTCCGGCTCTATACCAAGACTGGTAAGTGACAAATCAATTTGTATTCTCCAGATTACATGCTCCACAGCAAAATCACATACAATTCTCTTAGCTACACCCTCTTTAAGTGTGACTGGATTTAGTGTTCGAAACCAATTCCTAGTTTCAAGATTGTTTTACTTTTACTTTTTTTTTTACTCCCCCAATAACTGTGGATGGGAATGTATTAGTTACCTTTCTCTACACTGTTTCTAACTTGAAATTCCTATTTTAAAATGTACAAGCACACTTACGGGTTCACTTGTGTGAAGGCGACACAGGTGCATGTCTTCCTATGGACCAGTCGTCCCAGTCTAGCTTTGCCCTTGATGATGCAGTAGGGAACCCCCATCTTGCGACACAAGGCAGGCAGGAATACTACCAACTGGACAGAAAGACTGCTAAGAATGTGCCATGCAAGAAATCAAATCATAAAATATAACAGATTCAGGGCTTTGGCAGTTGCTCAGGGTTAAAAAGCTCGTATAGTTTGCTCTTCACGGTGCAAGTTTCAGGTGAAGAAATTCATACATCATTGCAAAAGGCCAAGCCCCAATATATATATTTTTTTTAGAGACACTAACTTCAAAATAATACTTTATACAAATACCAGCCATGCCTGTTAACACAGCAACAGGAACATAAAACTTGAAAATGCTAGACTTGTCAATAGTAGTAAAGTACAATATTAGTTACAAACATTCTGAAACGCATTCAGCCAAGCCAGACTCTAGCCTGGGGGTGGGCAATTACTTTGGACAGAGGACCACTTACCGTTTTGGCAAGTTGTTGAGGGCCACATGGGTAGCCCCACCCCTTGACAGGTGCCCCACCCCATGGTCACCATCTTGGGACCAATGTCCCAGGGCCAGCACTGAGGGGGCCCAAAGTGGGGCGCAGGCTAGCAGGGATCTGTGGAGCTGGGCTGGGCTGCACCAGCAGGGAGAAAGGGGAGCTAGTCCAGCTCCACAGAGCCCCTATACCCCTGCCACCCTGCTCGCATTGGTGCAGGCCCCATGCTCCCGCTGGCTCCCCACCCACTCACTCCCAATGCCCTCCAGCCCCCAGTACAGGCTGGGGGCAGCGTGCAGTCCTGATTCCCTGCTCGCCAGCAGGGAACAAGCTGGTGCTGAGAAAAGCAGCCCCTCTTGTGGCCGGTGCTCCCTGCTGCAGCTGCTCCCAGGCCACACGGGGCTGTCCTAAGCAGGCACAGGCAAGCCTCACGCAGGCTGCAAGTGGCCGCTCCCCACCCCCATGCTCAGCACCAGCTTGTAACCCGCCCCCGCTGCCAGCCTGGGCCCCACTGTGCAGCAGAGACAGCAATGGTAAATGCTGCCCAGCACGGCAAGCGGGGCAGGGGGGCCATAGCTGCTGCCACCGCATGCAGCCCCAACAGGCAAGCCCAGAGTTGGCATAGGGCCAGGCAGGCCAACCAGATTCAACATAGCCATGCTGTGACCAACCTACCACAGTACCCGCAACAATGTGTATTCCATACAAGATTATTCTTTGAACCAAGGTCTAGATCTCCTGCTACATACCTCAACGGGGTCCACATCATGAGCAATCACTACCAACTGAGCTTTCTTGTTCTCTACCAGGGTGGTGACTGTGTTGACACCTGTAAATCAATCATTTACAAAGTAAAAAATTCCATGTATTGTACGTTTTTAACTGCTGATAAAAGCCTTATACTGCTTGCCTTTTAAGAGGCTGAATGGGGATACCATGTTCCAGCTTACAAAGAAGAGATTTTTGACTAGTGTTCCTTGCTGTAACCTGTTCTTACAGACAATAATTCTAGCTAATGAGGGATGTAATATGGACAATCTGCTATCGCTCAGGGTTAAAAAGCTCGTATAATTTGATCTTCACTTTGATTTCAGGTGAAGAAATTCATACATCACAGCAACAGCTTGTCCAAGCCAACAGTGAAGAAAGCAAAGCAGGCTTTTTTCAGTTTACAGCTATGGCTTCAAAAGAAGTCTATCATCTCATCCAGACAGACACCAAGGCAAGTTAAGAGAGAAGAAGTTACCAGCTCTGAGAACAGGTGGCCTCTTTGTAGGAGCATCCCCCTTCCCTGCAGCCTTCTGCTCAGCCCGAGCCAGCAGCCTCTGCTTCTTCTCCTGCTTTGTCTCCGGTCTGTATTTGTGGGCCAGTTTCAGAAGCTGCGTAGCTGAAAGATGGGCCAAATACAATTTGTAAAGTCCAGGCTGTGACTTTCATTCTCTCTTCCCCTGACCCCAAGTGACTTTTGTGCATCAGCGATCTTGGTGGTTAGTAGTCATCATTAGTGCTCAGATAGCAAATATTGAGCATCATTTGCACAGTCAGTTTAGTTTTACTCTTACCAGAGCAAGTGAACTCGGATATATACCAAGCTTCACATCAGCCCATCATCTATTATGTATTTTCCAAGCCCCCCTGCTCTGCTAATACCAGAGACCTATTCTTAAAGCATCAGGCCAATCCCCTCTTTCAAAAGAAGCTACAGTTTAGTGTTATTATAAGGATCCCTCTCCTTCTAATAGGCAGCATACTGAACAGCAGCCCCAAAGAGAACTGGCTATTCGATCCAACTCGCGTTGAAAGTTCCTCCAGTTACATCACATGCCCTTAAACATCATTTGCTTGCACATGGAGTTGCAGACTTCTAGACTCTGCAAACCCCTTTACCAGGCTGGATTAACACACCTACTAGAAATAACAGTCACAAGCTGGCAGAGGGTAAATTCAAATTAGACATCAGGAGGTGCGACTTCACTGTCAGGGCGGCTAGGATCTAGAACCGACTTCCAAGTGAAGCAGTGCTGGCTCCTACCCTGGGGGTCTTTAAGACAAGGCTTGACAATCACCTTGCTGGGGTCACTGTACTCTTTCCCGCCATGGCAGGGGGTTGGACTTGATGATCTGCTCAGGTCCCTTCCGACCCTACTAACTATATGAAACCTACTGCTCTCCCTAAATGGCTTTCTTTCTCCAGAACTCAAGAGACTACAGATCTACCATGATGCAACTCAGGCTATGCTTTGGATCAGGACCCATCCTATCCTGCAGGACCTGTGGCCGCAGGGGACCCTGCAGCCAAGGGGCTGCACCCTGTTTGCTCCTTGCTGCCTGTGCTACGTTTAAATGGCTCGATGCAGGCAGGAAGCCCCTTCCCAGCCAAGCAGGGGAGAAGTTCCCTGCTCCACTCTTACCCCAGTGAGGGAACCCAGACATCCCCAACACATGCTGCCTCCACCCTGTGCCCGCCCCCCCGCAGTACAGCCCACATGTGCGCAGCCTGGCCCCAGCTTTTATTTCAATGAGTTTATACTACAATTACCCGCAATTTTGATTTTCTCATGGGTCGGGGGGCCCCAAAAATTCTGGACCAGGCCTGCTTTGGATGTCTAGTGACCAGGGTCACAACACAATTGGATCTGCTCTTTTACCTGTCTGACGGTCCAGCGCCTGGGTGAACTGGTTAATGGCAGGGGGCACCTTCAACCGCTTGTAAAGGATGGACCTCTGGCGCTGGAGTCGGATGTAGCGGGGCCATTTCACAAACCGCGTCAAGTCACGCTTGGGCTGGATATCTTGTCCTGAAACAAACAACAGCAGTTGTGAACTACTCCAAAGCCAGGCAAGCTGCAGTCACCCCGAAGCAGAACAAGTGAGTGTGCATCAGCGATCTTGGTGGTTTATCTGCATCAGCATTATCATTCAGATAGCAAATATTCGTTTGCATCATTTGCACACAGAATGAGTCTCCCTCGAGTAAGTCAGGCATAGGCATATAAAGAAGGCACTTCTGTGGGATTAGCTTATTAAGAAAACGATTTTTATTTCAGCCAATCCCAATGCCTCTAAAGTAACAAACCCGTTACATGCTTTGAAACGCAAGGAAAGCAAGCATTTACTTTTTCACCCCTCTACAAAAATCAGCCAACAGGAGTAAAACTAAGCTACGATTTATTTTGCTTCTACCAATTTAGTCCAGACTGCTTTCCCACACACATCTGACGTCGAATATCCCTCTGGGACACCTAGTCGAATACAGGAACAAACACCAACAGACCCAAGCCCCCGGCGCCCTGTTACTCACCAATGCCAAAGTTTTTAGGCCTCTTCTCAAAGAGAGGGTTGACCACCTTCTTGGCCTCCTGCTTCTTGACCACGGCAGGGGCCGGGGCCACCTTCTTGCCCTTCGCCTTCTTTCCTTTCGGCTGCAAAGTAAGAGACGGCCCTCCCATAGCACGCCAGGCACGAGCCCGTGGTGCCCACCCACTCCTCGAGCGGACCTGGATTGCACCCCTCTACCCCGAGCTGGGGACTGGCCCCCTTGGGGCTGCGGCCTGCCCCAAGCGACCCGGGCGGGGGCAGGGTGCGGGGCCTGCTCCATAACAACCCCCGTGAGACGCCCCCCCCCCC